CCCGAACCGCCGGCGAACACAGTGGCGGCGCCCCGGCTTTCTATGTTTCTGCGATATATACAGATATAACCGTGCACCGACGTAACGACCACGAAGGATGCCCCCGGTACTCTCTGTCCCATCACCTGGCACACCTATCCTTCTCTCTGACTTTGCCCTACCTCCTGCTACGCTCTCTCTCTCTCTCTCTTTGTTTCGCCGTTCTCTCGCGGCCTTCTCTCTGGCTGCGCCGATCCGCTTCGTCTGGTCTCCCCACGGCCTCGTGGTTACGCCCGTGCATAGGCGGCATCTCTGCGCCATCGCTCGAGCGCTTTTCAACGGGATACCTATCTTGCGATTTTTTGGTTAAAAGAATCGATCTAATCGATGGATTTTGGAAATCGAGAAAGAACTCTAGTTGAGAGGGTTTCGAATCATGTTTGTTAGAAATGAAGCTTCGTTCTGTGTACTTGTAATGTTCAATTGGGATTCTCTAGGGAGAATAATCAGAGGGATGACTGATCATTTTTTGGGAACCACCTGCTGATTTTTAGGGATCTTTCGATAGTCGAAGATTTGGAAATGCGTTATGAATTTTGGAGCATAAGAATTTGAGGATCTTAAGATTTCGGGATATGCGGATGTAGGAATCTAGGGATTTCATAGAAGTCGGAAGTTCTGAGAATTAGGGGATGCAGCAAGTTGGAGATATAAGAGTTTGAATAAATAGGAATTTGGGAACCTAGAAATTTGATAAGCAGGATTTGGAAATGCAGGGAATTGGAGGTCTAGAAATTTGAAGATACAAGACTTCAGAGATGTAAGAATTTGAAAATATGGAAATTTGCAGATATGAGGGTTTGAAGACCCAGAAATATGAAGACATAGTGATTTGGAGATATAAATATTTGAAGAAATTGGAATTTGAAGAGTTTGGGGCTCACAAAATTTGAAAACTTAGAAATTTCTGAATGTAGCTATTTTAAGTCAAATGAATTTAAGACCCTAGAAATTTGGGAATATAGAAATTTGGTATTCGAAAGAACTTCTTACATTTTTTGAAGCAAGTACAAAATATCTGATTTAAGAGTACCCATAAGTATTCCTCCATTTTGTTTCAACTTATGCTAAGTTAATGTATCGTGTATAGCAGTAAACTAAGTGTGAAGATAAGAAACCGCTTTTATACAAGAAATTGATGTGTACCACAGTACATTAATTGATAAGTAACGATGAGATTTTTGTCATGAATTTATTGGTCATAAATATTTTATGACATTAAATTTTCTTGGAAAAATCAGATTTATCTATTGTTTCAAATTGTCGATATAGATTAAATAAACAACTCATCTTATAAACTATAATTATAATTCCTATTATGTTTTATGTTATAATTGTGCCTTTAAATATTTTTAAATTTCGTGAATACTTCGACAGTATTTGAATCTGAATCATTTAGGTCTTGAAACCATGTTTGATTACAAAAATGTACGAAAGCTCTACAAATAATGTGACCATAAGTCCCTAAATATTTATAGTTTGAGAATTGTCACGTAATTCTAGTACGAACTTATATTTTAGTTATTTGAAATAATGGAATATTAAAAGAACATTTTGTAAAACAATTTATACAAAAATTATAATAAATTATAAATTACCTGTTATTTAATACTGCTTTTATTTATTAATTTTAATATAAATAATAGGTGTGGAATAAACTTTGATTCAATTATATTCATACAATACATATTGCAAAATGTGGAATATACTTTTTGTAATGACATGCTTTCATTAAACTCAAAGTTGTAAAAGTAATTCGAGCCATTTTGTTGAGTGAGTTCAAAATGGAAGAAGCAATGGAATCTGTTCACTTTAAAGCATTTAAACTAAACACCTAGCCTGTAAAATATTTAAAATATTTGTTCACAAAGTATTTATTAACAAAGTATGTAAATTCTGACATTTTATATACAAATTCCACCCAAGTTTATTATTTTCAACTTCTTCCATTCTTTACATTAAACTCGACGAATAAAACTTGAGAACTCTACCTCAGAATGTATATCTTCTAATTTTCCTCTAATTTCTTAAAATTTCACAGATAATTTGAAATAGCAAAACCTTAGACAAAACTGTTTTTAAGCAAAACTATTTAAACTTTGAATGCATAAAGTAAAGTAATTGAAATATTCAGAAGATGAAGCTATTGTACAGACATTGATGCTGTTTAATTCTAAATCCTCGAAGATTTGAAAGAAAGACGAAATACTGCGGTGAAGTATCTATTGTATCTACAACATTACGAGACAATGGAAGCAATGAAAATAACCGGTTGTAAGTTATTTAAGAAGGATTAGCAGATTCCGTCCCGCGACTACTTTCTTTCACATTGTTCCAGGAAACTATGTCCAATGAAACACATTCCATGCAAAATAGTCACACGTCTATTTAAAAGTGAAATGTTCGATCGCCTCTAGTGACACTCATTTCTATGCCAATCATTCGATACACGGGTTAATAAGATCCGTTAAACACCTGAATTACGTAAAAATTACTCACAACAGCAATGACATTACATTCGTCAAAATTTACATGCTTCACTTTTCACAAATCAAACTTTTATTTATACTCCTCTTATCTTCTATTATGGAATCTTTATTTATATAAATAATCTTTAGGTTTACCCTTAAAGTTTCTTACAGAGCTACTCATTATTTTAACTTCGAAAGAAATTATCTTTGAAAACTATTTTAACATATTTCAAATTTCAGAAACATGAATTACGGTTTTCACAGATTTAACATTTTCTTCAAATTTTTTTTCAGATTCAAATTTTTAGATTTTTTAGAATTGAAGCTAAACTTGCTGGGGTTGTCTCATACACCTATATGACTGTTAAACATTAAATTATTATGGGAGACACTTTTTTAAACTTGTCGAGTTTAGAACTCGTTTTACCTTCTTAAATTCTCTAAAGTCGTGAAATCCCAAATTTCTAAAATTCTAAGGTGTGAAACTTTCAAAATTCCTACTTTTTGAAACTTTGAAAATTTCAAGACGTAAAATTTAAAAAATTCCTAAATTCCAAAATTACAAAGTCTCAAAGTCCCTAAGTTCTAAAATCTCAAATTCTCTAGAGTCTCAAACTTGCAAAGTTTCGTATTCTTAAAATTCCAAGGTCTTAGACTTTCAAAATCGCTGAGTCCTAAACTCCCAATCTTCCACCACGCAAAATATCTAAAATCTCGAAGTCCCACAGTTTCAAAACTCCAAAGTCCCAAAGTTCTAAAATTCTAAATGTCCTGTATTCTTGAAGTCCCAAAGACGAACAACTCCAAAACCCCAAAATCCGAATATTCTAAATTTCCAAACTCCCAAAACTGAAAATCTCAACATTCCAAATTTTCAAACCCAAGTCCCACCACACACAGTTCCCACCCAACTTCCAAGTCACGACTAAATTAGAACCTATCTCAAGATCTACCTTTTCCCCGATTAATCACAATTAATTATCTCTGCACACTCATTGCTGCGATACGAATCAACAAGTTTCCCTCAAACGCACCGTCACTAGCAATAATTCCTCGAGACAAAATTTCGCAAAATGATTCCGTCTTCGGAATCCGATGAAATAATCGGTACGGTGAGTCCGGAATTTTCCAGCTATCTCGACGTTAACGAGAGCCATTCGATAATGAACGAGGTCTAAAAGGCTGGGCGCACACGCCCA